CCCCAAAACCCCAAAACCCCAAAACCCCAAAACCCCTTGATCTGAACCCTGGGTTGAGCAAGTATTTATTCAAACAGATGAATTAAATAATAATTTTAAGTTTAAATCAGAGATAAAATGGTACGTGGGTACTTCTTACTGTGATCGCCCAAAACGGGAAAAACAGCTCTAATCACCTTGAATATAGCCAGCCGGAAAAGGAGGCAAAGGAGGTAAAGGTGGTAAAGTAGGCCAGGGAAAATCTAAGAAGGTCCCAAAGAGTAGATCTGTGAGAGCAGGATTGCAGGTAAGTTCTCTCTTCTAAAGAGAAATCTTTGAAATTTCATCAATCAAATTTTTATAGTTCCCAGTTGGAAGAATCCACAGAATGCTCAAAAAGAGAGTCAGTGCTACCCAGAGAGTAGGAGCTACTGCTGCAGTTTACTCATCAGCTATCTTGGAGTATCTTACTGCTGAAGTATTGGAACTCGCTGGAAATGCTTCTAAAGACTTGAAGGTAAAGAGAATTACTCCAAGACATCTCCAATTGGCCATCAGAGGAGATGAAGAGCTTGACTCACTCATCAAGGCTACTATTGCTGGTGGTGGTGTGATCCCACATATCCACAAGTCCTTGTTGACTAAGAGTGGAAAGAAATTCGATAATTTCCAAAAGAGACTCTTCTAAGAAGGAAGCATTCACATGCTTGAGAGCACCAGCATTAATGATTTTTTGCTAAGAATTAAAACAAACCAACTTCTTTCTTCTTTTTGCTAATTTGGATGGGATATACTTAGACTCTAGGAAATAGAACCTCAGCCATTATTCTCAACAAATATTCCTAAGCGGGACTCTTTCTTGGTCAGCTTTTATTGATTAGTATGTTAATTGCGTGAACAGAGGCACTTTTAATGAGATTAGCGCTATTTTTGATAATTTAGTGACCGAAAAGCAAGAATCTTATCTTTTCGTACCTATTTTTATTTAGATTTTTCAAAAATTTCTAACCACCATGCAAATCTCTTCAAAACCTTGAACTTAGTTCCTTGATAGGAAAATGGAGAAGTGGGAGACATAGTGTTGTCCCGAATAAATCACCCAGAGCAGTAAATTAAAAGTACTTAGTGTGGGCATCTAAGTCTTGAAATTTCAGCGATTTCGGTCAAACTCCTATCCGATTTCACCTGGATATTTCCTCCGATATAACATTCATATGATTATAATTCAAAAATATTGCCACCTATTGGTCTTATAATAATTTACAGGATCATGAAATTGCCCAAATTTTAGTCAACCCATCGCCTATTCCAAGTTGCTTACACTGCATTTTGAATTTTCCAAAGATGAGTCTCATGCTGATCGCCTATTTTCTTTTGCACACATGTTGTCCCACTCGCAGTTTAAATCCATTTTATTTAAAGCTAAAATAGGTTAACGTGGAGACAATAAAACAATCAAATAAGGGGTTTTGGGGTTTTGGGGTTTTGGGGTTTTGGGGTTTTGGGG